ATCACAAGGAGAAATCATAGAAATAATAAAGGAGCACTGAGATTCTTGTGGTGTATAGAGTTTTGGTTTCTGAATAAATTTTTTTGTATAATTGTGTTGATAGAGAGTAAGCTTTAACGTTATTCAATATAGTAGCCAGACCTTGTATCACTTTTGCGCTGCAACATTGACAATGATTTATCAGTTCAGGCAGTATTTCTTGNCACAGTTGGTTTTTAAACAAATAAACAATATAATTATTGATAACAAAAAAACTTTTTAATATAAATATTTCTTGATTGATTCCTGAAGTCTTCGCGAATATTCTTTTTGTTAATTTTTTTTTCTCTACTTTCAACAGAGAATTGAGAAAATGAAAACTATCCTATTTTTATAATTCTAAGAATTTCATATTAGAGTGGATTCAAGTGGATTCAAGTGGATTCATGGATTCTGCTGTTCCCCCCTTGGTTTTCTTTCATTAAAATCTGTTCGATTTTTTCGTGGAATTAATTGTGTTGATTTCTGATTAAAAACCGGATTTCAGTTGATGTGATGTTCAAAATTTATACCAACTCGATTATTTTTTGAAAAACGATAATTGAAGGAATATAAGATTGTGCTATTCTCTTGAAAGAAAAAATCATGATTTTCGTATGTTCGTGAAGTTAGCATCGTATTCGAGTGAAACCTTTCTGTATTCTTTTGAGCTATCGTTCCAACACGCATGCTCATGTTGCTAGTAGAATTTCTTATGCTCTATCGAATGGTATATTTGGATTAACTTGATGTCGACGCGTTCTCCAGAATTTTCGAAAAAATCCAAAAAATGCTAGAATTTGTTTTGTAAAATCAGATTTTTCATCTTGCTGAAAATGGTCCCGAAAATCTCCAAATACTGTTTTTCTGTACTCAAAAAGTGAGTACACTACTAAAATCGGTCAGTGTGTCCGTCCATCCGTCCGTTTATTCGATAACTCTTCACAATTACATTCTATTGATTTGAAATTTTGTGCACACAATTGTCTTATCAATATCTAGGTCGAGTTCGAAGATGAGAAAGATTCGTCAAGAAATGGCTGAGTTATCGAAAAAATTGCCATTTTATATCAGACGATCCCCGAGGGGGAGTACAGGGATTTGAAAAAAAAAGTTTTTCAGTATCATTCGCAACATACATAAATCGACTCAGTTTTTGCAGTACACATAACAATCGGATGCAAATCCGATGTTTCCACATTTATTTTCCTATAAAATTCTAGCACCATACTCGCCAAAGTCGTTGTTATGAGTACTCCACTCATGACCGTAACACAACTTGAGTAGATCTATTCAATGATTTCGGCAGATTTTTCATAGCTCAAAGTAGGATCTTCTGAGATTTCTTCAGTATTATCTTATCAGCGGTGAAGTCTAATTTCGAGCTACGGAAAATATGTGAACATGACTGGATAGTGTTCATCGAGTTCCACTTGGAGCATAGGTACGAGAATTGGAAAATTGCTCGAAGTGACTATGGCCGGATTTTACGAAAAAAAGCGTTTCAGTATTTTTTGGATTTTTCGAGATTTCAGGAGAATGGTTCAAGTCTAGTTAATCGAAATATACTATTCGATAGGATATACGAGGTTCTACTAGTAATATGAGTATGGGCCTTGGAAAATTAGCTCTAAAGAGCATCGAAAGGTATACTCGAATGCGATGCTAACTTCACCTACCAGATGGTCACTTAATACTTCTTACTGAGATATCTTGAGTAAACTACAATCTAAAAAATGCTACTATACTTTAAGCGAGCAACTAGTCATCGTAAACGACCGTTTACAAAAGTATACGATAGAAAAGCGGCAATCGTTTCCTGGGATTTTTACGGTTATCGTAAGCGACCGTTTACTGTAATATCCGACAGTCGTTTACGGTTAGCGTTTAGTTACGATGGTCGTTCACGGAGATTTTTCACGGTTCTCGTTTACGACGATCGTATTTCATCGTATAACTTCGTTTACGGCAACAGTACACGACTAAAAAATACGGTGGCCGTTTTTCACCGTGAATGATAGGCATACGGCCGTTTACGACCCAGGTTGATCGACCTGGGTATATATTATTTTATTTACCCATGTTAAGATTTCATGATCTAACTCGTAACTTCTGGCAAAATCGAGAACGTTTTATCCATACACCAGGATATTATCTTTATACTTCTTCCAATGATTCGCATTCTTCGGTAAATAAAAAGATTGCTTTATATATGTTTCACGTAATATATCATGTTAGATCTACAAACAAAGCTAAGCCTTGTTACGATATGTTGTCTTTTCTGATCTGAGCAAAGTGAAGTCTTAAAAAACGTACAACAATATCTCGATAGTGTCATATCAGGAAATTACTAATTATATTTTCTTTCCTTGCAATCAACACATTTCTCTCTGGATTTTTTCAGTGTACACATATTGTAGAATGAAAATCTGTTTCTCTGGTTGAATTCTTTTCTTATATACACATATAATATGGCTTTACTTAATTAACGATAAGTTCTTTAACAAATCTTCAGCAGGACTGTTGCAATTAGCAAACTGTACGTTTCTATATTATTTTAATTGAAATTAATCTATAATGTGTTTCATTTTTGTAAATGAGAAAGTTGGGAGCAGTGTGTTAGAAATTGAAAAAATTTGGTAGCAAATACTCAGTTTATGCTCACGCAAAGGATGAACTAAAAATATTGGTAACATGAAATACTCAATAGATGACGAATACGCATTGCTTTTTTAGTTTTTTTTTAATCTGTCGAAAGAGAATTTCGACTGACGGTTCTGTATGTTTAAAGATACGTTTCTCTTAAAATAATAACTTAATAAAGTCTAGCTATTCAATCCAATCTAGATAAAATCTTTCATTTAAGTTTCATTTGCTCAAGAATTGATGAACATTTCTAGAAATTAACTGGAAAATAAATATATACAGTTTTATTATTCGAAATTAGTGAAATAAATATATTTGATTATATTAAAGTAATAAGAGTAGGTTTTCCTGATTGAAGTTATATAAAGCAATAAATGATCATTTGCGAAATGCTGAATATTTTCTATTGCAACAAAATAACATTCTATAACTGTAGAATTCGAATCTTTGAAAAAAATGCTATCGACTCATACTAACTGAAAAAATATATTTATTGATATCAGAATTTTTAGAATTCGCAATATCTTGAGTTCTACTACGTTGTTTGTTACAGAAAATTTACGACGTTCCACGCATCTGTGCCCAGAATGAAAGCATTATCATAATGAACAGTCGGATCTTATTTCAATGCACAGACCTGTGCTATAGTATGAATTTGTCGTTTAATGTACAAAAATTCTAATAGATTCATGACTTGTTGTTTCTACGGTGTTGTTTTACTTGGTAATTTAATCAAATTTTAAATAATCTCATAAATACCGCTTTTACAAACAAGTTTTACCTATATAAAGTATTTCAGATGTTATATTAGCAATACAGTGGCAATTAGTAGAACTATTTTAGAATGATATCTACTCAAAAGCTTATCACATATTTCTCGATTGATATAAATAATCAAACTGCTAAGATGAATATTGTTTTGACATTAAAATATTGACGAATGAACTTAATTTACGCCAATGAAAGAGGTATATATATTCATTTATTGGGTTATTAGCAATAGGATAAGAGAAAAATATATTTATTAAATGAAATAGGAGTCGTTTCGTATTGAGTAAGAAAGACAAAATATCTCAGCACTGTATTATAGGGATGTACCGAGAGCAAGCGTCTCTGCCTCGGTCAGTTTCAATAAAATATCATTAAATGTCTGTCTAGGCTACAAATAACTTCTCGACGAAGCGTATCTGTCGTTTAATATATGGTTATGCGTACATTTGAATTGTTAAGGGTAGATTCTCATGTGTTTTCTTTCGTACCGACACTCACATCCTACGCTTCGCAACCGCATCCACAAGATAATAAAACGAGACTAAGATCAAGATTTAGCATATCTAGATCGAATGGGACGAAGATTGAGACTGAGACTCTTTCTGAGAAGACAGAGGCGACCGAAACTCTCTCGGTCGAGAGTCAATCTCGGCGTCGGTACATCCCTACTGTATTATACTTTGTAATTTCCTATAAATTTCCAAATTGATTTTCATTATGATAAATCATCACTATTCTTTGAACTACAATTCATGTCGAAAAGTTTTCGTTTTATGTAGACACTGAACTTAAGAGAATGTTGACGAACAGATTGTCTTTTCAAGAAGCCTCTATGTTAAGTTCCTTTAGGACTAAAATATAAAGCACCAGTACTCTTTAGTCTCATTATACTAATCGACTATACGTGAAATAAAAAATCTTTAGCAGATTGCAATTGTTTTCTAAAGTAATCGCTCTCGAGGCAAGCGATCTGTCGAATATATTTCTATATTACCGCAAGCAATTTCTCCTTCAGTTTTAAGGGGCGCTATTATTTTTTCTTTTCTGTCAGTTATTGCTGTTCGTTCAGTATTTTTCTTTTTCGTATTCCATTTTTCTTAATTTAAAACTTTTATTATTCTAAGTATTAAATTAACCGGCAAATAAGTCTGCTGTGTGTTGTGACTAATTCAAAGTTTGAATATCTTTGTTTTTTCTTCTTTAAACATTCATTGTTAAATTCAATTTTTAACTCTGACTATGAATATCTTATATTTTCCATCTGACAAAATCCTCGTGGAGGAAAACATAAAATACTTATGGTATGTTTAAGTATTATAAAAGAGACTTATTTATGAAAATTCAACCCTTAATTCTATTTCAATTTAGTTTTCCCACTCACCAATATCATTTCAGTACTTCACATGTACAGTTGAGTTTAGCAACTTCATACTAATGTTTATGATTGAATCCAATAAACGTTAGCATAATTTAAACTGACCATTATTTATCCGTGTTAGATGTTATGTTCTTCACCGAGAATTTGTCCGTATGTTTGTTAAACTAATGAAATTTAATATCATTTCATGCCTGAACTGAACGTAAGCGCATATAGTACAGGAGAAAATTTCACAGAATAATATGAATGAATTCATAATTCCGATCCACAGCTCTTTAACAACTATCTTTAAGCAGAACGGATATATATGCATTTATCAGATTGGAGTAGAAACCGTTATGTCTGTTGCTACAAAACATTGTAGAATATTACAAAAAAAGCTAAGAAAATAATTAGAAGTAAGTTATAAATAAACAGTGAAAAGCAATGAACTCATCTCTCTAATTGTTTTTATAATACTTGTTTTGCTCTCAGATTTGACATAATGTGCTTCTATTACAGAATGGACTTCTACTCTATGAATGTGTTTAGTATTATTTCCCTTAGACCAACGGTCTCTAATTTCTTCTTATGTTTTAGTCAAGTTCGGAAGAACAACAATTTGCTATTAATCAAATTAATAAAATACCAAAATTTTATTCTACAGAACGAGCATTTTTCAATGCTGAAATGAACTCAATAGAACAAACATATACGTATATAGATTGTGGTTCTACTTGGCAAATTATTTCACCGAGGATTCCTTGTGAAAATCAAATCATATCATCATTATTAAGTGTTCGCAAATCTATCATTCGTATTGGTGTGTTATACGAACGTGAATCAGCTATTGAAATGTTTTTCGGTAGTGGTTTATTATTAACAGATGAACTTATTTTAACTTGTGCTCACAATTTTGACCCTATTATTTGGTCTACTAAAAAAGTTCCTTATAGTAAAATTTATACTTGTTGTTGTGATCCAGCATTTGAATCATTTTTTTCATTATCAAATCGTACTCAAGTATTAACAGAAGCTACTATTGTTCGCCGTGGCTTAGAACGTGACAATCTTACCAAATATGATGAAGTGGAATGTCAGATGACTGATCTAGCTCTTATCAAATTAAACAAACCACTTACACATTTTAAAATAGATGAATATTTTGACCCTAATCTAAATGTATTATCATCGACATCAAATCATACTCCAATGAATTCAGGATTATATTTAATTTGTTATAATGGACAATTAAAAGATAGTGATGATTTGATTCCATATAAAAATGTTAAAGTTTTTGAAAATATAACCATTGATGAATTAAATGCACAGCATAATGTTAATTATAAATCAATATCAATTGGACGTCTGATAGAGTTTTGTCCAACAAATCAATATGCTACTCATAATTGCAGTACATTACGAGGTTCAAATGGCTGTTTAATGCTGGATTCGAAGGGAAACTTTGCTGGTATACATATTGGTGTTATAAATTCAAGAAAAGGAAAAAATTCTGATATGTCGTTTTTTTTATAAAGAAACGTATAATAAATTTATTCCAGTTTATTCAAAATTATTTAAAGAATTCATTCATGAAACAATTTTACCAAATATTAAAAACGAACAACTAGCAGAAAAATGGCGATTTTTATCATCTAAAGACAGACATATCAAAATAAAAACACATTATTTTTTCTTTATTTTTTTTCCTTATGAAAATGAGACTTGTTCATCAACTAAGTATTTTGGTGTTAATTTAATCTTTTTTCTTGTATATGTTCAGTTAACATCAATTTTTTTAAATTTACATATTTTCTGTAACTTAACTTGTATCTTTGTTCTTTTCTTATTTTCATGTTCTGCAAATTATTGAAAGAATAGACATGATTGCTTGCATTTATATATTGAATAAACCTTGATGAACGATGACATTGATCTTCTTTGTTTTAGTTTTGAGAAGAATATATCATCATAATAGACAAATGTGTTTCGAAGTTGCCAGGATTTGAGGAAGGTAGTCCGTCGAACTAGTCAACGGAAAGTAAATCATGTAAGCCGAAATTATCAAAGCAAAACAAAAAGACTTATTTTATTATGAGTATTTATAATTGTTAATAAGTATGATATATTCTGTTGCAGTTCTCATTCAATATTGATTTAGTGAAAACTACACATTCCATGATTAGTTACGGAAATGGGCTATACCTTGTTTGCGGACATTTGTTTTACTAATTAATGCAAAATGTTCGCGAAGAAGAATAGAGGTGGGCAAAAATAAGGTGGCTGGTACAGTGGACTCTTCTTCAATTCGACGTTTGAATTGATTTAATACAGTCATATACACCCAAAGACATTTTTGGTTGATGTTCAAATTCATGACTACCGTCTAGCTTATCATGCAGCACATATATATATATTTACTTGTCTATATCGGTCAATTCAGTATTGATCAAGATTTGAGGAAGTAGAAAAAGAAAACGGAACTATCAGTATACATGATTTTTCTTCTATGGTAAACATTCTAAAGTAAATTGATACGTATCAACGTCGATATTTTTATAACATCAATACGAATCCATTAATTCAATAATAAAATTGTAATGTAATCACATGTCATGCAATATGAATAAATGATCATGAGTTTGTGAATTGATTCTAGTTCTGAAAATACAGGACGATTTTATGAAGAGATTCTTAATTTGAATATGATCAAAGCAATTTTTTGTCCAGAGAACTAATGTTAATCTTAGTACTATGCCAATAGGTGAAAACACACTGTTGATATCATTTTTAATCAACAAACATATGTAGGGGAGCAATATAGAATTTATTCATTCAAAATGGTTGTACGCATAGGTGGCGGAGTCATTAGGCTCGCGAGGCTCAACCCTATCCTAGGTTGAAAGTGGATACGCTTAGTCTACCCTAAGCTGGAAGTAGTGGGTAGACCTTGATAGACTGAAACTGGAACAGATAAATGTTTGGATAGGTTGTTATATGCAAAATGGTTTTATTCTTGTTTAGTTTTGGGGCTTTTCTAACAAATAACGTATTATTACAAGATCATTCCATATGTTCTCTACTAGTAACTCGTTCGCAATGAAATATTAGTTGAACGTTTTTGGCATTAAAATTGACATCTAATTCATAATTCTTAATTTAAGATAGTTGAATTGTTTGTGTAACTTCTGTTTAAAATTACTTTTAAATCTTAGACACTCGAATAACATTACTTGTGCCGTGCAGAAATGCGAGCTAAACAAAGTTGGAGTATGTCTTCCTTTCAAAAGCAAGACCAGGAATAATTTTTAGTGAAAATCCGTTTTCTGTTGAAATTTAAATTAGGAATTTAAATGATACTCATAGTAAAACAAAACGTTGTTAGAATCAACAAAAACTCGACATCATCATTATTTAGTATCTATTCTAATTTTTCTACAAACAATGAAATATAGAACATTTTTTCGTACTGAATAGTTTTTTCTTCTTCTTTGACTGCTCTTTTAGAAATTTTTTTTCAAGCAGTCTTTCGCATTTTTTATTTACTTCTTTACTTGTTGTTGTATCTAAAAACCATACCACATTAGATAGCTATTCCACTTATACAGAATTAAAAATTAGTAAAACAATCTAAAACGATTCCTTTATATACAAATGAAAAAATCACTTCTCAATTAGCTTTCATTTATGCAAGAGTTAGAATTTATATCAAATTAAAATCGATTAAAAACTGATTAAAAGTCGATTGCAATCATATGATTCTTATAAAGTTCCAATCATTTTTTAACCAGTTTTAATCTTTGACAATTGAAAAACTAAAATTTCATTGTATATCACGACTATTTCTGCGTATAATCGGATTTCTATGTTTTTTGATAACTTCTGATCTCTTTCTACTAATCCGAGAAGAATTCCACTTGTTTTGTTTCATATACTTAACGTATTACGATGATTTCAGATAAGTTCATATACCACTAGAAATCACTTTTTCCTCTCCGTGGCTTTTGCTTTCGAAGCGGGGAATCCATTGATTTTAAGCAAGCAAGGAGAGTAAGTACTAATTTTACGAATCCAAATAATATCTTCGATAAAATGTATGTCGTATTTTGTTTTTATTCTTGTAATAGTTTGAATATTTCCTCATATTAATTATACTGTGCGAACTTCATTAGATATGATAGCTAGTTTTTGTTGAAGACATAATGGAATTCTACAAGTTCATACGTATACCTACAGACTTTTCTTGTTATATGCTTTTTTCTCTCCCTCTCTTCCTTATCTCATTATTTTTCTTTTGTTAGATTTTACGTGTTGATTCTTTTAAGCATAGTCTATAATAATCAATGTTAACATAATGAATTATGACTACACCTGAATATTGGCATTTTGAAATTGGAATCTATTCTGTGGAAATCATAATTGTTTCAGCTGATTTTTCATTTCAAAATAAGAAAACTACTTGTAAGATATAAGTGTTTGTGGCGACCAGAATTCAATTGAAAATATATGGTATATATATATATATATATATATATAATTATTAACAGATACACAGATCAATGATTCCGGAGAACGGATACTACAGGAACCGACAGGAAAATGAGGGGAAAACCACCGTATCCTACAGGAAAACACTGGAAATCGCTGGGAATCACAGGAAAATTCCGAAGATTTCCAATCGGAATACTGCTTCCACGTTCCAGTAATTTCCGGTGTGTTCCTGCCGTTTCCCGCCGTACGAGTTTGCCCTGGGTAGATGACGCCACTATATGGAGTTTTTTTCATAATTGGATTCTTTTTTCAGAAGTCAAAATGATGTTTTTTTCTAAGCTCCTCAATGAATATTCCAAAAGAAAACAAGCAACTAAAGAATAAATATTAAATTTTCCATTGGTTAAATCAATCGAATCAAATATTTTTCTTTTTCAAAAAAAAAACCAAAAACATGCACGCATAATCAGTGGACAAAATCACGATGAATCATCGATTGTTTCTCTGTATAAACATATTTTCAGAAAAAATTAAAACAATCGATAGAATAAAGTTTTCTCTGTCGACTAGTATAAATAAAAAATTCAATCTATCGAATTTATTTAAGAGATCACAGTATATACTGTGTTTGATGATAATTCACTGAACGCGTTATGTTTTTCTTTTTCTGTCAGTTCACTAGAAATTGTATGTAAATCATTATAATACATGGGAAACTATCGATCATCTTTGATACTGCCGTCGATCTGAAGAAGAAACATCATGGAATCACTCCATAGAATGACTTTTTTAATTAACTGTTCAAAATGATTGTTCTAGATCAATAGATATAATGTCACGCAACCAACATCATGATGCTGATCAAATTCAAAAAGTCAATGATGCGATTATAGCATTAGGTATTCATCCGTCTTCTCTCGATGCGAAAACAAAAGAAGAAGAAGAGTGGAAACTTTTGTAAAGAAAAAGAACACAATTCGAATGATTTTCAAAACAACGGTGATGTTTCAGTAAGTCTCGTTACATCATTTAATTCTATTTTTCCATCAGAATTTCAGTTGACCCAGAATAATGATTCCGATAGTGGGATCCTATCAGATTCGTGTCGGAATCTTATCGGGTATATATTGGATTTCATTAAGCCGACGAAATCCTCTCGGTATCCGGGTGTGGGACCTACAATTGTAACCCTAGTGTTGGATTCCAATAGGTTCCAGTGTCGCAATTTAACGAAATCCAGCATAAGCATTCGACTCATGTGTTTTGTTAGCACCATATGCTGATTCATTGGTGATTAAGAAAACGTTTTTTTTCGTCGGATCTGTTAGTAGGTCCGTGATCAGGAATCTGATCGGATTTTGCCGACTTGCCGGATTCATTCACCTGGGTATTCTCTGGCTGACTTGATTTTGCTAGAGCATTTGTAGACTATTCAATGCTTTTTTATTTGCTTTGTCTGCTACCATCATGAGTGCAAAAATCTCTTCCGTGATTTATTCATTATTATAATCGACATGCCTGTATGAAATAATTCAAATCAGAGACCGAAGCGAACCGAGTTTCACTGGTTCGAATTCAGTTACTCTTTATGTTTTTCTCGATCGGTTCGATTATGTATGAAAAAAAGGTTAGGATCAATGTGAACCGAACCGAACTGTATAGTTCGGCTCGTATCGATTCGTTCTCAGTCTCTAGTTCAAACTTGAATATGAAAAGTAGCCTCTTTTTATGAGGCTTTATACAAACCTAAAGAGGAAGAATTTGAATAAGAAATTGTTCCATTAATGAATGGATATATAATACCTGAAACGTGTTCATTTCGAAATGTTTAACACATGAATGATCATGAAATATAAAGTAGATAAATTATTATATGATACTAATTGAAGACTTAAGTATACACGTAGGGTCAGACCTCGCAGCATACTGATTTTTTTTGCGTTTTAACATCCTACAAAATCATCACCATTTCGTGAACGGTCCTGATTTTCTTGATTCTCAGTAGTCTTTATAAAAGCATGGAGCTGAGCTGGAGAGAGAACTGCCCGGAACGACCCATCTCAGATCGAAACCGTTTGCAAAAATCAGAATCAATTAGAACGATTTCAAAAAGTAAAAACCAGGACGCTGCGAGACCCGACGTAGATCTATTTGTCGATATCTATACATTTTTCTCCTATTTTCTAATATTAGGAGCAATGATCCAACTATTTCATCAATTTGAACAAAAAATCGAACATCGGATGTAGGGACATAGCCAGGGGGGACTCAGGTCCCCGACAGAGGTGTTGGGGGGGGGGGGGGGGGGGGGGGGGGGGGGGGGGNACAGCGGGCCTCGCCCCCCCCCCCCCCCATCCTCTACAATTTTTTTCTGGTGACGCCCCTTGTCGAATGGAACAACTTGAATCAAAATTTGAACGACGTTCCGACCAATCGCCTTCTAATAAGGAGGATAATTTATATGAACGTAGGTCAGCTTCAACGATTATGGCTCATTTTAATGCAAACCATTACTTAGAGGCCCCACTATTACCCACAAATCGAGTGTTTCACTCTCTTTATTCACAAGAAACTAAACAGTTATTTAGTTGTTTTGTTCAAAAAGTGAACAAACATTGTACTGATGTATGAAACGATGTTAATGAAAAATTCGACATTTCATGTAGATGTGAACACATAGAAATAGATTTATTAAGATTTGCCTATGAAAAAAGCAACAAAAATAAACCAATATTCAACACACCTGAATTACAACCATTAAGAACCAATTGATCATACTCTTTCATCGAACCATTTGACGCAAATATAATTCTTCTCAGTGAAGTCATTATTACTATCATCGACTTTGATTACCAAGATATAATGAAACTTGAAGAAGTATGTTTCTTTCTTCTATTTTGCATTCGTTTGTTTTCTCTGCTAGTTACATTCAGACATCACTATCTAAAATCTTGCATATTGCTGTAAACTGATCAATGACGAAAGGAAATGCAGATTAGCCGACAAGAGATCAAGATGCACTCATGTATATTTTCATTGATGAACTAGATAGATAGGAAAGAGTTCAATGATTAGTGTGAGAAAGTCAGAGATGACCACAGCGCAAACAGACAATTGAAGAATATAAACTGAATGAAGCAGTTACGAGTACTTTTACCAGTAAATAAAACACTTCTAACAAAGAACGATAAAGCCTGATGAAAGTAATGTTGTGCCATCTTGAAGTTCAATCGTTTCTTCAGGATTCAGTTGAAATCTTGTTTAGGATTTAGTCACTTAGATTGTTCGCCTTCGGGAGTGATAAAATTCAGAACAAATCAAAAATGCTATCCTAAGTGACCGAAAGCAAAACTAAGTATAGAGAAGAAAAAAGTCGATAACATTAGCACATTTGTACGAACACAAAGAGACATGATATTATCGCTGATGGGTACCATCAGATAGATATAAGTTTTTTCCTAATTCTCGCAAAAACTTCATTTGATTTTTGCAGAATTCGATATTGTAACTTCTAGATTTCCTATAGCTGTTTTAATGCTAACAAAATGAACAATAAATCGAATATCAATATTGAGCACTGAAATTGATTGATTTGGATATTGTCGATACGGTTTCTATCTACTTTTCGGCTCGGTAAAGAAAGTAACCAATGGTAGGAGAAGTCTCGTTTCTAGAGATCATTTTCTTTCACTAAGAGACTTACTTCTGATTTGATAGGATCAGACGAGAGATCGTACGCAAAACCGTCGTCTCTGATTTCTTACACTAAGTCGTATCAGAAGATTCTTGAAAGGTTCTGTTATCTATAGAGATATCACTGTGATATTTTAATTAAACTAATATCTCCTAAAAATATCACGACAAATTTGTATTGAAAATAAATTGTATGTACGACCTTTAAAGAAAATACAGTATGATCTGATGCAAGATTTCAGAGACGACGATTTTTTGTCTGATGCTTATAAGATTTTGTTTGATTTGTGAGATCTGACGTCCAGATTGTAAGATCTTACGTCAGATTTTTCGACCTGGGTATTTTATACATGTTGATTATCGATTTCTCCAATGTACACTTTTGCGCATTTCTTATTTTATATCGATCTGAATCTGAACAATAAAAACATGCCAACAAACAATCTTCGGCGCAAATTACTACAATTAGAATCGTCGACCAATTTTATTTTGCTTTATTTGGCTGGCGTCAAGATTGAGAACTTGTTACCTAAGTGAGTGAATCCGACAGTGAGTCCTATCGGATCTCATGGGACCCGACAAACCGACAAAATCCAATCGGATTCCGTCTCTAGGGCCTACTAACGGATTCGACGGAAAAAAAGCATTTTCTTAATCACCAATGAATAAGTATATCCCAGGCCGAACATTCCGGCCACCGGATCCCGTAGGATACTCCAGGAAATATGCGGGAAAGCCACCATATCCTGCAGAAAAACACGAGAAATCGCTGGATCATGAAAGTAGCATTCCGGTCAAAAATACGGCCGAACTTTTCCGGTGGATTCCTGCTAAGTTCCGGTGCTTTTCGGCAGGAATTGATCGGATATCAGCGGAAAAATTTTCAACCGGAATACTACTTCCACAAAATCAACGGGACTACCCGGAACCGGCCGTTTTCAGGCCGGACTGTTCGACCTGGGATGATGTCAACAGGACACATGGGTCGAATGCTTATGCTGTATTCCGTTAAATTCCGAGACTGGAACCTATCGGATTTCAACACTAGGGCTCCAATTGTAGGTCCCCACACCCGGATACCGATAGGATTTCGTCGGTTTAATGAAATCCATGCTATATCCGATACGATTTAAATACAAATTTGATAGGATCCTACTATCGGAATCATTCTCCTGGGTAGTCGCTTTAGTAGGACGCTTTCACAACCGTCATGCACCACAACAAGTGTATAGTGTGCCCTTTAATTCTGATTTCAAGAAAAAAATTCCAACTCTATACAAACTGTTCCAATTAGATTGTGAACATAAAACGAAACAACTTTATTTCGTGTCATAGATTTGCCTTTTTTTTGGATAGGCCGTCGGTATTCTTCGTTTTTTGCCTGTTTGTTTCTTTTTTATGATTTCAAATACATGCTTTATCTTTTTCTGATAATGATCATTTGTTTGTTTTAAACTCAAAGTTAAGGTTCACAAAAACTGAAGTTATATGAATCAACAGTTTGATGAAAATGCTTCCAGTAGCCACGTCATGAACTTGACTTGAGAAAGGTTCTTACCTCAATAGAACGAACAAGAAACTTGAAAAATGAACGCTGTTGTTCTAAGAAGAGTGAGTAATAGTAGGTTTTAAAAAATTTTCTTTCACTAGTATAGGATAGAAAGTATATTTTTTGTGACCAAAGCATATTATTTGAGATGGATGTGGGTCAAGGGAGGAACCACACACCCACCATATTACGTAGAAGTGTTAGTTCTTGACAATCAATTAAGTTTATTGGGAGAACAATTAAAAAAAAGAAATGGATTGGTGATTGATTGTTAAGGAATTTATTAGATTATTTAAATTAATAATTTTAGATAAAAGCATGTTGACATGCTTTCTTTTTGTATTAAATTCAATACGTATTGCTATTCCAGTGATAAGCTTGTTTGGATCAGCTCCAACATTTTTTACTCTATGGCTCTTATTACGCTTGATAACGTACTTCTTTTGTCCTCATCATATGTATCGTCTTTTCGATGATTATTTATATTCACTTTATCAAAAATCAGTTCTATTTTTCTTTGAACATTGGGTTAATACTAAAGTATGCTTTCAGCTTTCTTTCTTGTTGTTGTTTATTGTCATTAATATTTTCTGTTTATCATTTAGATTTATTTTCATGGAGATTATCAAGAAGTAATAAAACGAAAAGAAAATGTTTTATTTATATCAAATCATCAAAGTTCTGGTGAGAAATTTTTATTACGTCGTTGAATATTTTGAGTATATATATATATATATATATATATATATCTTACACATTATTTAGTTGATTGGATTGTTGCAAATATGTTAGCTGCTCGTCAGGATAGTCTTGGTCATATTCGATATATTCTTAAAGATGATTTAAAGTGGATTCCATTATATGGATTTTATTTTCAACAAGTAAAGATTAATATAATATAATATAATATCAAATAAATAAGAATTAACAAATTCATTATGCGTTTAGCATGGTTGTATTTATGTTCGCCGAAATGATAAAGGAGATTTAGAACGTGTTGAAAAGGGAATACAACAAATAAAATCAAATGGTTTACCTATTTGGCTTGTTATATTTCCTGAAGGTACTCGATATAATCCAGTTAAAAACCAAGACGCTCTTGAACGATCACGTCAATTTGCGAAACAAAAAGGTTAGAGAAACATTTCTTGTAAAATATTGAAGATTTTAAAATGCAGTTTCAAATCATCGATAGATATCAGTAACTGCAACCATTATTTCCTCATACTTCTATTGCTATAATATTTCTTTGAAGAAAAAAACGATTTTATTTTTATTACAATCCTCAGCGATTGACAAAATAAAATAATTGATAATATTACGAAAAAGAAACATTTTTATTAAGCAAGGTAATATCCAAATATCAATTCTATACTGATATTACAAGATATTCGTCTTTATCTTAAAGTAACTAGTTCATAATGAAATTAAGAAAAATCTAGATTGAAACACACATATTTTAATCTTGGCCGCGATTCAACCTATATTTCCTATAATTCTTATATTTTCAAAAAATTCTTATTTTTGTCCCATATTTTCCTATATTTAATCGAAAAAAGTAGAGAATTTCCGAAAATCTCATATTCTTGCTATTGTCTTTAGACGAAAACAAAACTTTTAATGTGTATAATCGTGTGTTTTGGACAAATTCTTGTACTATAGTGACATTTTTTAAAAAAAATATTTTACCTTTCGCCTATTTAGTGGGTTGGCTGAGAAATTGTTTAATATTAAATACAAAATAGTTCAAAAGAAAAAACATTCATAAAGTGATCATGTACTAGTTTCGGGGTTTTAGCAGATATGTCCAACTTGAAACTTGAATTCAATTGGAAATTGAAATTTTCAATTTTCACCTTTTAAACCAATAGCATCCTGAAGAATAGTGACTCACACATATATCGCCGTAAGTTGAAAGTTGAAAGTTGAAATTTTCTATTTTCAACTGAATTCAAGTTTCAAGTTTGACACTACTGGATCCTCTAAGGATTCCTATATTTTTTTTAAAGTGCAATCTGAAGCCAGATTTTAATTTGATACTAACCACAATGAAAATAAAATAACCAAACGGATGATATTTCATTAAAGTGAGTATTAGACAAATATGGATTGAAATTTGTTTTTATTTCGATCTTTTATTTATCTTTTTGTCTAAGACAAATCTAAGCAGTACAGTTTTAAAAAAAATACACTGAAAATATGATTGATCAACTGTCATTTAAGAATAGAGCCGAAGTTCTCTTCATATTGACGAATGTAGGAGCTTGACACAGAATAATTATGATGATAGAAAATGATTTCGAAATTCATTAAAGAAATTATTCGATCATATTTAGACTTTTTTCTGAGAAAAATTTCAGAAAGGAGAGACAATCGTCGAGAATGCTCAAACAGGGTCTAAACCATTTATTACTTCTTGATTAGCATGAAAGCTGCAAAATAAGTCATATTTCTTATTAGAAGCTAGCGTCTATCTCTACTTGATACAATAGCCGCAGCCACATATTCATTGAATGAAGTTTTAAATAATGCTGATTCAGGCAAGAGATACTCTATGCTTGATTGAATGTTTTGTAGATCAGATGGAGAAATTCTTTTGTTTTTGATTTTTAGGTATTCCTCCATTTGATAATGTTCTATACCCACGAACAGGTGCAACAGTGGCTGCTATTAATGCACTAAAAGACAAATTAAATGCAGTCTATGATGTAACTGTTATGTATTCATCAACATATGATACAAATAGACGAATTCGATTAGCTGCAGCTTCAATGGCCGGTAGCTTTACATTTTGTAGAATATCTTCGCCTTTTTTTAAATATTTTATTTCAGAATATTTACAGTGTCAAACAAAAGAATTGCATATTCATATAAAACGAATTCCAATCGATTTAATTCCAAGTGGAACAAATGAGCAAATATCAAATTGGCTATATCAAAGATTTATTATTAAAGAAAAGTAAAAAAGTTCAAAATTAATTTATTAATTTATTCAATGGTTTCTATTTTTTAGCTTATTAAAACATTTTTACGATGACAGCCGACATCCAAAATATCTATTAGATTTGGATTCAAATCGAGAAGGTGTTCAAGCACCATTGCATTTAAGTGATACAATATTTTCTTGCATATTTTTTCTTTTAACAACATTTTTATTATTAATAACGCCACAGGGTCGTTCACTTTATTGGCAAATATGTTTATTTGGTACACCAACAACTCTTTTATGGATGCATTTGTTTCCACCACAAAACATAAACTAGTCCATTCTCATTTATTTTTTTCGCTAAAATTAACAAATCCTAGTCATGAAGTTTCAATATTTTTAACTAGTCATTCGTAATCACTAATAAACGAATATTCACTGATAATCAATCAAATAATTTTATGTCATATCTTTTTTTGTCTTTTTTTATAAGTAAAATAAAATTCATTTATTGATCTTTGTTGTTTAATACTAGATTAATTTATTATACACATTTCAATATAGAAGAACTTCTTTAATTTCGAATTCCCATGAAGAAATCTTCTCAATTTTATATTATTGAACAAATTTATGTATAGTTCGCACTGATACCTCCGGATCAATATAAAAATTTTGAATACGTTTAATGGCTCTTAGCATTTTTCAGTACTAGCTGATCTTAATGATATGTCTAGTGCAAAAAAATCTTTTTTTTTTGAAAATTAAATCGTTTAATAAAATAATATTCTTTTGCAGATGAAAATTTTTGGGATATTTTTTTACAACATCACATCCATTGAAGGAGAAAGTTTTGAAATCGACCTATTATTCTTTGATTTTCCAATTAAATATCTTAAAATCAATGGAAGATTTAATAGAACAATGATAGGTTTGCTACCAAAGTCTAGTTGAATGAAATCTTTTATTTGAATTTTTTCATTAAATCAGTTATAATAGATCAAAAAGCCGATGAAATAGTCATCATTGAGCTACAGTTATCTGAATGGGTAGTTTCCTCTTTGGTTTAATTTTGATTTAGATCAAACTTTAGTAAACATTATTTGAGATTACAGAATACTACAAATATCTATTTGCGTTATTATGCCTACTGATGTTTATAAATTATGTTTCTTCTACAGGTACATAATTTAAGCATCAATATTAATATTGATGAGTAGGAAGAATAGAATAGAAAACGTAGACACAACTTAACAATCGAGATAAGGATATGAGTAACTATGATGACCTGTCGTTCTGTAAATATAAATGCTGTAAATCGCGTACTTTTTGCAGATAGCAATGAAGATTCAAGTTTATCGATATAAATTAGAGAGCTTCATTTTCAAAATGTTTTCTATATATTATATAATTTTCACGTTTTCTTTCTAATTTTATCTTTGCATTTATAAGATTAGTCAATAGAAGCAAATAAAAACTACAAGAGCATTTAAGAGATGGAGCTTTCTGTTTTGCAGCTAACCTTGGGATGGAACAAATTTATATCTAGCAAGCTTTTTAGTTAATGCTTAAACTTAAAAGTTCGGTGAGAAATGCAAATTTAAAACTTTGAAATTTTATTTATAAATGTTCTTTAGCTATTGGTTTTTTCCTATCGAATTACTACATTTTTGATAGCGACATTATTTTTCTTAAACGTATTTATCTCTTTCCAAAGTCCACTGTTTGTTATCTGTTTACTTTTCACAAATTGAAAATGAGTGTAAAAAAATCTTTCTATTGGGATAGATATCGAATTATTAATCACACGGTTGAATGAAAACAAAATATCAATAAATAATTAATAAAAAAAAATTTCAGATGATTGATTCCTCAAATAATAGTGGCAGTGAAGAAGAAGATAAATGTGTACCACGTGCAGCTGTATATAAAATGATTAAGGATTGTACTCAACATATTCGTGTATCAGGCGAAGCAAAAGAAATTTTTGTACAATGTTGTAATGAATTTATTCACACTTTAGCGTTACAAGCAAATACTGTTTGTGAACAACAAACTAAAAGACTTGTTCACCCTGATCATATTGTTACTGGTAACAATATTGTCTATCGAAAAAATAAATCATTCATCTTTCATTATTATTAGCTTTGAATAATATGGGTTTTGGTTCATATAAAACGAAATGCTTAAATGCAATGGAAACAGCACAGGAAGAAATTGCAAAAAAACGTAGAAAACTTCATGGAAAACCAACGTCAATTTATACCGATGAAGAGTTGAGACAAAAGCAAGAACTTTTATTTCAACAGGTTCATTTTATTTTTCAAATAAGTATCAATTTTGTTTCATTTTTACATTTAGGCTCGTGAAGAAGCTCAACAGTTAGAAGAAGACGATTGGGCGCGTACACAAGAATTATCAAAAGAAGTTTTAAGAAAAAAAATCGAAGCGACAAGAACTGATGATGATAATTACGATGATTAACTTGATTTTCGTTTAACCAATTGATCTTGTTTAATTTTCTTTAACAAAAAATGACATAATTTCTACTTTAAAGTTTTATATTGTAGCATTCCATTTTTATTTTATTAATATTCATCATTTTTAAATGTCTACTGGTCTTCATTTTTCTATAGATATTGAGAATGAAGTTGTACAAAGCAAACGATTCGTGGATTGTAACCACAGAAGAAAGTAGCCTTTGGTTTAATAGAAGAAGTTTATCTGTATATACTAAAAATGGTACGTTACTGTTTTTTTTGTCTTATTTGATTTAATTTTTCCTTTCACGATAATACAATAGAGCCTATAACTAATCAGTTCTTAGCATCATCAGCATGGGATGCTTCATTTGTAAGTGATATTCATGGTTATATTGGACAAGTGCAAATGGTTCAAGGTAAATAAATACGAGTTAGATTTGACTACTTTCTAAAATCGATACTTATTTAATGCTCTTTTTGATTTCTGTTCAATAGACGGATTTCATTGGCTAATATTTATAAAAAATCAACAACTTGTTTGTCAAATATCTAATACGCATGAAATTTTTCGTATTACGGATATTCTAATTCAACCTTTTGATATTTTTGACGAAGTAAATAATCAAGATGTTATTGTTTTAAATCAAAAGGTTTCATTTAGGAATCAGATGCTAAAAGCAATTCATCAAGTAATAATAAATATGAATTAAGATGTATTGAAGTTAGTAAATTCTAATCATTTTATTCCAAGATAAAGTTAACTCATAGTTATATTCAGGAGCTTCGTTTGTGGTATCAAGAAACTCAATGTTTCTATTACAGTTCTACGTATGATTTAACGAATTCGATGCAACGTTCATATAATCATGATGACACTATTCCATTATGGAAACGTGCCGATGAAAGATACTTTTGGAATCGTGCGATGCTTAGTGAACTCATTGATCAAGTAGAGGATCTTTTTTAGCGTGAAAAATTTTAAGAGAAAAAAGTTTTCAATTTTCATTAATAGGAAGAACATTTAGATACTCGATGGATTCAACCCATAATAATGGGTTATTTAAGTGAATGTCATTTTGAAGTCGATCAAGAAACTAATATACAATTGATTCTTATATCACGAAGAAATTGTCATCGGGCTGGTGTTAGAATGCATTGTAGAGGCATTGATAACGATGGAAATGTTGCTAATTATGTTGAAACTGAACAAGTAAATAATAGAAAATCTAATCGAGATTAGTTTATCGATTTTGTGTTTTAGGTTCTATGGACTGGTCATAATGTCATGTCTTTTATTATGATTCGAGGGTCAGTACCAATATTTTGGTCACAACCTGGAATTCGATATAGACCACCACCAAAAATTGATCGAAGTAAGTTAGAATTAAAGAATATTGTTTCTTTAAAATAAGATTTTAAATGAAATTTTTTAAACAAATAACTTTATAAAAAGTCTTACAAAATCTTAGAGTAAACATCATAAAAAGTACATATATGAAAAAGCTCTTTTCCATCGGAATATTGATCATCCTTGGCCATTAGTTTCTTTTTTTATTTGTTATTCTTTATGTTCCTTGTCGTACCTAATTTATTCTGGTGATATATGATAACCAGTTGTATTATTAAAGCCTACAGAATGCTTAGACATTTGTCCGTGTATCTTTTTCTTTGACCTTTTCGACTTCTCCTATCAATCATTGAGAAAAACACCGAGATAATAAAATAATCCTATTACAAAACTGTTTATTTGTATCTGACAAAATTAAACTTTAATGTAAACATTTGTTAATGTTTTTCTAAGAAAGAATGACATATGTTAAAGGAAATATTTCACACAGTGATGATAAATCTGCTTTAATAGATTCATAAATGTCATTCTGTGTTGTGCACAAATATTCATCACATAATTCTTTATTATTGATGATCTTTTAGCGCAATATATTCATCTTTTCTTTTTTATTTCGATGACATAGCTGTGTCTGTCAAGGATGTATTATATATTGACATGAAGAGTTGAAAAACAGTAAGCATCAAGAAATAATTTGCTTTATATTCATCATCATCGGCTGTCACTCTAAGATAAATACAAATATAATTCACAATGAATATAGTTAATTTCAATAGAATTTATTGAATAATTAATTTTAGTTGTTATTATTGTTTTTTTTTATGGTCGATGTGCTAATGTTTAAACCTTAGTTATATGTACTCCCAAATAGAATCATCTGGTTCTTGTTAGATTTTCTCGTTCATTATTTTTCGGATAATAATCAAAGAAATGAATACATAATTGGACGTAAAATTTTATATACATATTTTTACATTATTATCAAATTAATCCATATTCATTAACGAAAATCTAACAGATAAACTTGTTCAAAACCGTATTGTAATAGAAAAGTTTGTTTGTTTTTTGCTTCGGTTTGAATCAAAGAAAAACATCTGTTACATTTTTGTTTTTGTTTTTTGTTTTTGTTTTTATTAGTAACAGTAATAGACATGTAGAAAAAGAAGAAACCTAAAGTTAATTAATCACAAGTTCTTGTCGTATATAATCAGTATGCCAATGTTTTTGTGCATAGCGTGATTGGAACAAAGAAAAAAACGAACCTCGCCAATAGAATCAATTCTCATTTGAATATCAAACATATTTATCGATTTGGTGTCAAACAGAGAATGAATATCTCGGAAGAAGAACAAAAGAACGATTTCTTCTTTAATATTTAATTGGCTAAAAAAATAGAGTTTTTCTTCTTTTATACAAAAAAAATATTTTTAAAGGATAGAAAAATATTTTTAAACGCTAAACGAAAATTTTTGTTTAATATAGCATAAAGTACAGGATTAATTGATGAATTTGAATAACCTAACCAAAAGAAAAATTCGATTCCATGAAAACTTAAACAATGACAGACAGCTCGAATAATATATAAAGTAAAGAATGGTAACCAACAACATATAAAACAACCAATAATAATAGCTAATGAACGAGTTATGCGAAATTCTGCTGTTATTTCACGACGTCCTAATGGTTGTTGATCTGGTGTAGGTACTTCATCACGGATAATATTATTTTCTAATGATTGAGATGTTCCTGAATTATCAAGACAAAGTTGACGATTGAATTTATCGTTATGTGACTGTGATTTGCTATTTGTTTTATGACGAATTGCTGATTGTTGTTTTATTACATACAAAACTTTTGCATATAAAAATATCATAATAATTAATGGAATAAAAAATGAAAGTAAAGAGCTTGTTAAAACAAAATTTAAATCTTTATATAATTCACATTGTCGAGTTGATTCATTATATTTTGTCGTTGACGGTGCTACTGTTTTATTGTTAATGTCGGAATATATCTCGAGTTTTCTTTCAAAAAATAATGTTGGCAAAAGACATATCGCTAATGAAACAAACCATGCAATGCATATATTAGTTAAAGCAAGTGAAATTGAATGACGATGATGACGATAATGTATTGGATAACTTGTGGCTATATAACGATCAAATGCGATCATTAAAAGGCCCTAAATAATTTTAACATTGAAAAATAAAAATAAAATAGAAGAAAAATATTTTTTCTTTGCACATAATTTACCCAAATAGATGCTGTTGAACATAAAACATCAGTAATCAACCATATATCACAAAATATTTTACCAAAAGACCATATACCAAATGTTGAATACGAAGCTGAAAATGGTAAAACAGCAATACCCAACAAAAGATCACTAACAGCTAAATTGATAATTAAATAATTTGACATTCCACCTTGACGAATTTGTTTATCAACAATAAATGCAAGTATTACTAAAATATTTCCAAGTATAGTCCAGATAGTTATTGTAAAAAGTATGATTCCAATTATTAATGAAGATAACATTGTCGATGATTCAGAAAAAGAAATAAAATTCGTATCATTTGTAACGAACATCAATAAATCGTTGATAGAAGAGAAAAGAATCTATAAGAATAGCTGTTATTAGTCTTCTTGTCGTTATCTTTATTGATTAAATGAAGCAAAATATATAAAAGAACAACCAGGAAGAAAGTCATATTTGACAAGTGTTATTCAATTTAATAAATAGAGAGAAGGAAGAAAGATGATTTCCACCAGTCGATGAAATCGCTCGGGCTTTTCTTTTATAAATTCTACAATAATTATTAGTTTCTAAGTAAAGAATAAGTGTTTTCATTTTATAATTGTTTATTTGAATGAATAGCTGAGGAATATGAAAGATCATGATATATTTTATTTCATTTTTTTTTAAGAATCAAAATAAAACAATAGCTTACGAATTGGTTTGTTTATTAATTGAAATTTTTTTTTCTTAATCTAACAATGTGTTACGAAGTCTTTGATAAAATTTATCGAATTATTATCGGTTCGCGCAACCTTTCAGTACATCCTAATGATTGCTTTCGTTGCTAATATGCAATGGTAAAATATTAACACTTTCCCTTTTCATCTATTCTTTGTCAGCTTTTTTTTACTAGTTTTTATTTTTGCATTTTTCTGTGTGTACTTGTTTTTAACTGGCAATAATCCAATAGATTCTGTCATTATTTTCATAGAAGAAAAAGAATTTCATCGGAAATAACAACAATAGATAAAACGAGAAAGGAAAAAAGAGAAAAAGAGAGATACAGAGATGAAAAGCGAGAGATAAAAAGAAATGTCTCTCTAGGAGGTAAAAGTGTCTGAAATAAAATAAACAGGCATGCATATAATACTAATGAGCTCAAAGAAAACAGTTAGAATGACAACATATACTGCATTATCATCTTCGATCGGCATTTATTTTTTGTTTCGGCTAAATTCTAAAAGAATATTATTATTATTATTATTATTATTATTATTGATATACAACATCTGACACTTGGTTGTCAAAGTGAAATCTTTTGTATCTGATAACCATTAAATGTAATCATATAAGAAAGATTGATTAATACATTCTCATTTATTCTTTCGGGATTATGAAGAAAAAAAAGTAGCTAATAGATAGAAGTCGAAATCAATTATCTTTTAAAAATGAAAGACAAATCTAAATTATTTTTATTTAATTTGAATAGTTTTCATATATGCTACGTTTTTTTCTAAAGTAAATTTTCCTTTTAGATTTCAATGAATCTCATGATGCTTTTGTGAAACATATTGAAAATGAATTATCAAAAATAAAAGGAAAACAATTGATATTAATTAGTCTTGTTGATGAATGGGGAAAAGAAAATATTCTAAATGATGCTTTTTTTGAGCATATCATCAAATATAATAGTCCGTGTTTATCTTATGTTACATTCGATTTTCATGAATATTGGTAATATTCTTCTTGGAATTATCTGTACGATTTATTATTATTCCTATTGTGATTGTTTTCTATTTAGCAAGGGTCTTCAGTTCGGAAATGTAATGACACTTTTACAACATCTTGATGAAAAACATTTCTTACGAGAAATGCGATTTTGCTGGTTAGCTTTATTTTATTTTATTTTTCATGATTTCTAAAGTAAATCAAATAGGATCAATACAGAGACGAATGCGTTACTAAGTGAACAAATTAGTTTATTTCGCATTAATTGTGTTGATTGTCTTGATCGAACGAATGTTGTTCAAGCAGCCATCGCCAAGACTATTTTAGAGATTATGGTATGATTAGCTTTTTGTGAAAAATTATTTTCATTAAAATTTTATTGAATTTCTTTTGTAGTTAAAAAAACTTGGTCTATTAGATTTTGATGAAAGTGGTCTTCGTGATTATCCAAGAACAATTTTTCAAACAATGTGGGCAGACAATGGTGATGCTATCAGTAGACAATATGCAGGAACTGATGCTATGAAGGTAAGAAAACAAAGTGAAAAATACAATATTCGAAATTAGCTTACATTAATATATCTCACGATATAATCTTCACGAAGATATTGTCTTCTGTTTTAGAATTATTAAAGAGAAATGAAAACTATTATGAAATTATTGAATTATTAAGCAAATACAGAAAATATACTTCTTGAATTTCATATAGAAATTATTGAGGAGGACAAGAAAATTTTTAATTAAATCCTTCCATATAACTGGATTCTAATTTTCACTAAACACAATATTGTATCAATATTACTCATTGCAAAAAAGAATCGCTTCAACAAAAGAGCTCACCTATTGATATTCAAGATAATTAATAGCATTGATATATTTAATAAAATGATGAATAGTGAAACGTTTAATAGAATAAAGATAAAGTGTATACATGAGCATCAGTTTTATGAAGATTGATATATGATTGCCAAGGGAATCGATATTTATTGACATGGACGTCTGTCTCTATGGTACGATTCAACTGTCTATAGTTTGTAGTACAATATTTCTCGAATGACAATCAATTAGCGATATAACAATTTGTATGATTTCGAAGCCTTTTTTCTGAGCTGAGTCAATCTAATTAACAATACCGACACAAAATTGATTTTCATTTAGTTAGTCATAACTCAATAAGAAATAAAATGAATAAACTTTCATAAAGTTTGACCGTGGAGATGATTCAGAAAAGATCTATCGATTCGCAACTAAACATTGACTTCAAAAATTAAAGTCATGTTTTCCACTAAATATATTCATGTTTTCCACTAAATATATTCATGTTTTTCTAATTATTAATGTATAATTAGTTGAACTATCTCTTACAACTCTCATGCTGTTCCTTTTGTAATTCATTAGAAAGATATTTTAGTTTTAGTTTTTATAAGAATTTTGGATTGAATTATAGCTTCAGTCGTTCATTACACACTCGATACACCCTGTCCTGCCCTGTGCCCTGTCTTGTTGAAAAAAAATAGCATACATTTAAAATTCACCCTGCCCCTGCCCTGCCTTGCTCTGTGCGGTCCTCTGACCAGGGCAGGGCAGGGTACCCTGCTGAATCAAAATAATGTCTGTGCTGTAATTTTCAATATATTTCAAAACACAAAAGGCATTTTCCTCATTGTAGCATAGAACATTTTTTATTTTAGAGCCAGTCCAGATAAGCCACGACCCACCCTGCTCAATCAACAGTGCTCGGTTTAACTGATACTTTTATGCATGACAGAGGCAAGTGTTTGATGAATTCATCGGCAAACTGTTTCAAAAAATCTTGTTCCATTCTTGCGATATAAAATTTTTCTGAAATTTAAATCTTTTTACAGATACATTCATTTTGCTTGAAATTTTCAATGTAGATCTATCTTTAGTTGAGATATTTTTCCTTAAAATATAAGCTCAAACGGATGAATTATTGATGAGTTGAGCGCGTATTTTAAGGAAAAAATCTCAACTACAAATGCACATACAGTAAAAACATCGAGCGAAAAAAACATTTTCTTGAAGAGATATAGGTCTGAGAAAAAAATCACAAAATGTCATTTTCTGATGAGGAGTCTCTTAGAAAAATTTTATTATCTCAAGAACGGAAGAAAATATTTTGAAACGGCTTGCGTAGAAACTCATGAGACACTTGTTCCTATCGAGCGTAAAATAACGAGTAAAATTGGCGACCATCGATGAACAGCTTCTGTTGGAACGAGTCGTGGCTTATATGGACTGTATCAGATAGAGAGACTTCTGATTATTAGTTGGCGTCGCTCACTGGAGTCTATTTTTATTTTTGAATCTTGCAAACTAAAGAAAGAATTTCTTCAAAACGGAAATTCAAACAACTGGATTTTTACGTTGCAGGGTATAACTTTCACTCTGACCTG